GTTTTGTAATGAAGGGGCATTGAAGTAATTTTGTCAAAATTTTAAACCATTTTTATGTCATATAACCTAATTAAGAATTTTGAAATTTAGTGAACCAAATGGGAATTTTGGTTATTCAAATAGGCTTTGCAAGGGGTTTTCCCTATTCCTTAATTCATTCCAATATCATTTGTAATAGGTTGGAAAGTGGAATCGTTTCCTTTTAGTTTCTTAATTCTTACTTCAAAGTTGATTTTCTTAGGGTCCTTTCTTGAACAATGCGAGGGTCCCTTCAATACAATTTAAAAGAAACTGGGATGCATTTTCAGAAAAATTTCACCTGCTTTTCCATGGAATCTTTGTGTACTTTTCATTAAAGCAGAGATCCTACGCTAGTTATGTATATAGATACGCCCTAACCTTCAAACCAAAAAAACAAATAGAAGATTATTGTGGATCAAAGAGTATATATATTAGTGTTGTTTGTGGCTGCTTGGTGGCTTTAGCAGGACGACGTTCTTCAAATACTTCAACTTGGAATGGAACTAGTACTGTTCGCAGAGGTGCCTTTTGGGGGGGGGGGGAACAGAGATAGGTGACTTTGAGGGGGGAAAATGAGGAGTAATGTGATAAAATGCCTAAATTCACAAATTCTAAATTAGGTCCATGAATCAATTAAAGATTTGTAAAATTTATCAACATGATTTGAAATTTTCCTATTTATAAGAGGGCTTAGTACAGTGTAGATTGTTTTCTTAAGTTTAATTCTTGTAAAGTAGATACTTTCTTTATTTTTAATATATGTCATTTTGTAGTGTTTCAAAAAAAAAAAAAAAAGGCATGCTTCGCAGATCATGCTACTCAATAAAAGGGTTAATACTAAAATCGTATCTTTTGTATTATCCTAAATTTTGAAGTTAGAGTGAACAAGATGCCTAGGAGACTTAAAAATAATTTATTTAGTAAAAGCCTATTTTCAAGATAAGAAATTAAGAAAAATTAAGAAAAATAGTTATTAAAAATTTGTAAAGACCCAAAATAATTAAAAAATAATAAATAACTATTTTGCAAAATAAAAGAGTTTATGAAAGAATTTATTTCCTAAAGTGATAAAGATAATTCAAAAGCTAATTTCATAAATTAAAGTTTATTTTATGAAGAAATTTTAAAAAAATAGTTAGAGATTGATTTTCAATCAGGAAATTTTGGAAAAAAAAAATTCATGAGTTAAGGAAGCCAAATGTCAAAAAAAAAAATTATAAAGGTTGAGGTGCATCCAACATCATAATGTATTTTGTAGTGTATTTAGCACCTTAAAATATTTTTTAAAATATTTTTTTGTGCACCTAGTACTTTGAATTATTTTTGTAATTGGATCTAACATGTTAAAATATTTTCTGATGCATCTAGTACTATAGTAAAAAAAAAAAAAGTACTTCAAGGTGCTAAACGTACCTAGAAGATATTTCAAGGTGCTGGATGCATTACAAAATACTTTAGGTCCTGTTTGTTTCAACCCCATTGCAGGTATGTAATGGTAATTCTTGTTGCATTACCATAAATGATGTGTTTGGTTGGTCTTGTTAATTCATTTTTGTGAATTTTGATTTTTGCCTAATTTTGTGATTTGTGTCGTCGCTGTAACTCTAACTCATCGGCAATAAGATGGAGGAGGCAGAGGGAGGAAATTTCCTTTAATGACATTTTTGTCTTTTCATAATTATTTATATTTAAATTAATTAAAAAATTAATGTCGTCTCTCATCCTTTTAATATCATACCAAACAAAAACATGGTAATTAAAATTGCATGCATTATAGATTGCATTGCATTACATTGCATTCATAACTTGGATGCAATGGAACCAAACGGGCGGCTGTTAGGTGTACTCAATTAAAAAATTAATGTCGTCTCTCATCCTTTTGGAGGCATGAGGTGCTGTTTGAAAATTATAAAAGAGATGGAATGCTCTCATATTGATGGAATTTGAGTAGTCTAAGTGCATTACATGAAACATAAAGTTGTTAGCATAAAGTATATGTTGTTGGTGCTGTTCAGTTCTTATGAAGTTATACGAGAATGTTGAAAATCTGGAAGTTAGGAACTAAATAAAAGCTGACTGTTTTGATAAAGTTTACGAGTTAAAGTTATCATAAATTGGAGAGTTAAGCATGTACAGTTTTCAGAGTGCTCTACGGTATGTTTGAGGATAGTAAAGTTTGATTTATGAAAATTCTCAGCTTCTGTTTCGGCCTATGTACTTGGATGGGAAAGAATTGAGTTTTGTTGAATTTGAACCTTTTAATGTGCTTAGAAGAGGATTTTATAGAGCTGAAAATTTCATTGAAGTTTGCTGTATGGTATTTACAAATATTAAGTTGTTGATATAGAATGTTAAACAAAAGTTTAAGCTGATGTTTAGATTGCTGGAAAAATTTCCAGATTGTATAATGTTTCTGTTTGAAATGTTTTGAGGGTAAAAGCTGATTATAATTGAGGAAAGCTGTTTGGATGCCAAGAAAGTGTGTTTTTCTTTAATTAAAATATCTCCATCTCCATGTATACAAGGAACGAAGGGAATAACATACACAAGACTGTCAATGAATCCTTCAAGATTTTTCCAATTTTTCTTTTTTGATTTAGGCATTTGAAGAAAAATGTTTCATAATAAACGAAACCAAAAAGACTTACTCTTGGGGGAAAAGAAAATAATTCATGAAGTTTTGATCTAGAAATCATTGTGCAAATGTAAGTGTTATGTGTATTCTTCTCCATCTATTTTAATTTTCTTTTAATTTTGAACCTACCATTGTCGATTGCTTTATTTTCTTTACTTCTTTTTCAATACTTGCTTGGTAACCAGCATTGCAAGTCTCATTGAAGAGAATTTCTAATGTTAAATACTCAAAATTATGAGCTTGCTGATCTACGGCCGTAATTGATCATGGTTGAGAAATGAGCCTTCGATCCTATCTAATTTTAGATCTACATTTATACCACAATTAACATTCTGTTTTTTGTTTAATATATCTTATACACTTACGTTTTGCTCCGAACTTGTTGGGATTAGGATGCTTATGTTAAAGATTTGTGTCAATTCTTTTGCTTTTCATCCCCGCTCTCATGTCTTTTTTTACACGAATAGGGCGTAGGCTGTTGAATGATCGAATATGGCAGAACTGAGCTTGGGTATTCTTGTTGATATTGTTGATGAGGAATGGATGAGAGATACACTTCCTGATGATGGTATGTTCTTACTCTGTTTTATTGGGATATAAGCTCCTGTGGTTACAAACATAACGAAGAATGTCTCTGTTATAGTCATTTGAGTTTGATGTAAAAGCGCCTTAACCTATTGTTCTCACAGATCTTCTGCTACCTTCAACACTGATAGTTCGGACAGATGATACTGAGGACTTACGTATGTTATTCTAAATCTTAATTGAGTGATGCTCTTTATTATTCATATAAGAGTTTCTGGATAAACTTTCTTCACTTCCATAAAAATGTAAAAGCTTAAATTCAACACGATTGTTAGGTAACCTCATGTTTGTTGGTCTATAAAATCTTGTGACGCAACATAAGAGGGGGAAATAAAAGAAGAAAGAATGAAATTCTCTCTTGCTAAAGATGTCCAGATTGTGAAAGCATATCTTTGGACGCCTGTGCGGGAAACAAATGACGGAGATCATAATAATTGTGCGCCTTTTATCGGATATTTGTATCCAATATTTACACATTGCTTTGCTGTCAATCAGATCAGGAGACGCAACAAGTCAATGCGGATGCTTGGCATGATCTAGCCGTGGGCCCAGAATAGAAACCTTATTTGTCAACGAGGGTCGTCCCTCGCGATAAGTGGATGGTGTTTTCTTTATTTTTGTGTCATATCATCCATTTTCTACTTCCGTCAAGTCAAATGTTGAAGTCCTAGTTTTTTTTTTTGGTCATCTACATTATGTAATTAGAGAAGGAATGTGAATGAGATATCGACTTAATTAGATAGCCTCCTGCGCGATCTCATTTATTTTATGTCATCTAAGGTGCATATAATGCATCCTACTAGCCCTCATAACAGATTTATATCCATGCAATTAGTTCTGTGGTTGAAAAGTGGCATATTGATTAGTGGTCAATCCGGTCATAAGATGATTCTTAACATAAGAAATTCACAAGTTAGTAGCTTCCGGTGCTGCCTATGTTGATGTTATCTGAGTCCTTGACATTTTCCCTCCCATATCGAGGAAGTCAATCAAAATGATTCTTTTTTATTTTGTTTTGGTGAACAATCAAAATGATTCTTTGCTTGACAGGATCATTCTACTTTTGATTTGGATCTAGAATACTTTAGCTAGCACAACTTTGCATCCTAATTACGGTTTTCACACATAGCGTGCTTTGCTTTTTATTTTCTTTGGTCCGGGCTGTTAATCCAATGAGCATCACATTACTAACAGACACTGTTCTTTGTGCGGATCAATTTATCTGCTCAAATATAATTTTTAAGCATTAATATATGAATATGGTTTGCAATTTGAGCTGCGAAATAGTTGATGACTTCTGGCCTTAATAATTCTGTGCAACCTGCAGAAAATGGCAACCTTGGAACACTCAGACCTTTCTGCTCGCGCAACATTAGTGCGCAGTAGCATTACAGTATGATGTTTTTTTTTTTTTTTGGTGGGGGATGGGGATAATGCGTGGAATGGTTGTATTTATAATGCATCAAAATTGAAGAGAACACATTACCAAAAGGTAAAAATAAAGAAACCAATCATTCAGCGTTCTCGGAAGCCTCTTTCGTAATGCATCAGACAACATATTGGCATAACTGCGGACGAAATTTCCAACGAAGAGGGGGAATATGAAGCTTCCCGGGAGAAATATATGTACTCCAGAGGCTTGTTGCAGGCCACTTTAATAGATTGCCTTCAATGGAATGCTTTATTTACAGACAAAAATAACTTGAACCACACAATCATCTCCCGTGAGCAAATATCAGAAGCACAGTAAGAATACCAATCATGCGAGGAAGTCTTTCAAGGATGCTACAGTTGGTGGTATAGTAGTTGGGATGCTGCCCTTCTCAGAGTCTGCTACCTGTCGAGGGACATCTGGTGGTACTGAATTCCTCGTGGATGCATTCTGATTCAAAGCATTCAATGGCATTGTTGTAGCTGCAGGAGGTGTTTGTGTCAATTCAAACTGCTTCAAAGCATTCATTGGCATTATCGTGGTTTCCTGCTTCAAAGCATTTATTGGCCCTGTGGCAGTTGTAAGAGTTGTAAGTGTAGATCCACACTGCTTTAAAGCGCTCATTGGCACTCCTGTTGTTGGAGGTGTTGGTGGCAGTCCACATTGCTCTGTAGCAGTTGCTGGTTCTGTTATGACTGTGGGAAGTGTTGGTGCAGATTTTGAACGCTTTAAATCTTTCATTGGCTCTGTTGTGGTTCCAGGAAATGTTGGTGTTGATTTAGATTGCTTTAGAGCCTTCACGGGCTCTTTTGTGATTGTGGGAATTGTTCTTGTGGGTGCAGTTTGCTTCAAAGCATTCATTGGCACTGTTGTAGTTGCAGCAGGAAGTGTTGGCATTGGTGTTGATGCGGATTGTTTCAAAGCGTTCATTGCCATTGTTGTGGTATTAGTGGGTGCCTCCAGGGCCAAAGGCTTACCTGTTGACTGCTGTGAATTTTGTGCAGCCGTTGGTGGTTTTTTCTGGGTGGAGAAAGGAGCAGAGAGAGAAACCATCCCTGGAGGTAAGATTTCAATTGGTGGCTGCTTTCTTGCTTCTGCCAACGTCGTAAGCTTAGGGTCCTCAAGAGATGCAAGAAATGCAGCTGTAGCATCTGTTTTGTGCGATTTCATAGGCTCAACCTCTCTTTGAAGCATTTGGTTCCAAGCTTGAAGCATGTTCATTGAAGTTCGACGTCCATGTGCCTGGTAATATTTTCAAGGTTATGCTATACGTACTTTAAATGTGGGATCAACTAGTTGCACGAAACAATTCTTACATGAGCATGAAGCACAGCTTCCGCCAGCATCCCAGTATCCTGCCATGCTTTCTCCATTAGGCCGTTGTCACCCAAAAGACTAGCAGCAAATGCAGCTTCTCGTCCCAAGCCAAGAGTGACTAAATTACTCACCAAACCCTGAAACGCATAAAGTAATACCTCATCTATGATGGAGAAAACATATTGAAGATTGCCATTGAACTGCTCAAAAAGACTGTTAGTTTCAAAAGGATCAGTGTAGGCGGTCTCAATGTGATCTTAAATAAATTGCACACGCTTTGCTATGAATCTTTGTTTTTTAATTTATATATTATTATTATTATTATTATTATTATTATTATTATTATGCATTACTATGCATTTTTTGTTTTTTGTTTTTACTTATTCTAGTTTATATACATGAACACAAAATTATGCTTAACAGGCATCAAACAAGAAAAAAAATAAGTTGATTTGAAAAGTCAGATTAAAAGCGCCTACACTTAGCCGTGTCAATTCACCGTGATTTGCAAGCCGCAACGATAATCCTCTCAGTTCGTGACCTTTTAGAGCGCCTTTCACTGAACCAGCAGCAGCTAACCTCTTAAGAGCCTCGCGAGCAATTTCAACCTGTGCAGTAGCGTCCGCAGCATCAATGAGATCCAAAAACTCCTTTGCGAATTTAACTATGCCCTGAACAGCTTCAACAATATCTTCTTTTTTATCATTTAAATTGAGGATATCATTCAAACCAAGACCGGGATTATCATGTCCTATGTTCGTACTATTGCTCATGATAAGAAGGCATTGAAGAGCTCTCTTCAAATCATTGCTTTTCATTGCCAGATCAAACTCCAACCTGCATAACATAAAAGGCAATATATTTAACCGTATCTTGACATAGGTTGTATGAATAGTGGTAGTGATTCAAGCCGAAGTCCATCAGATTGTTCATGCAATTGGCTGCAAGAATACAGCATACCTCTTGGATATTCCAGGTAAATGAAGGGCTTCAGCAGCATAACCCATTCCCAGCATAAATTGCGCCAGATCATCATGGTGTTCTCTCCCAAGCCTGCTTGCCCTGTTAAAAAGTTAAAATATTATGTTAGATATACATATTCACTGCTGACTCCGTAAGGGTGAACAAAGAGAAAAGCAAAGCGATACCATTTAACTGCACTAACAGCATCACCGTAGGCAGCAAGGCATCTACACCGAATACCAGGATGACTAAGGGATAAAGCATGAGCACACATGTACCTGCCAAATACATGAATCATCAAGAAAGCTATTCAAAACAGCGTCTAACATTAAACGAACGACTTCAGATTTGACCTCTATCAATAAACAAGAAATGACCATGCTTATCATGCAAGTTTTTGTTAACTAGTGCTAGCACAACAAAAGTCAATACTCAACATAATCAAAAGATATCTACTCATCTTTTTTTTTTTTTTTAACACTACTGAAACAATATCTATCCACTAATCAACTGCAGGCTATACAGTTCATAAAAATTTGTCGTACTTAAATCCTGCGTAATGGTGTTGCACACAACTACTACAACCAACTTCAACAGAAAAATCATTCGAGCATCAATCACATTAAGAGCAGATGTACAGATAAAAAAACACCAGGATAAGTTCACACATAAATATGTTTATGTGTGGAGAAGAAATTTTACAGGACACATCTAGAGAATTAAGCTATTTAATGTTGAGTTCAAAATTAGAATATTAGATGCTTGCGCACATATATATGACTGCAGGTCTACAAAAATTGAACACATTCGATATAAAATGGAAAATCAAACTTTTACCAAACCAAACAAAAATGAAACTACAGTCCTAGTTACCGGTCAATTAGCCAGAGCACTCCATCTCTGACCCCAACCACAACCAGAGGCCCAACTGGACGCTTCTGCTCCATGGGGAAACGAGTAACTGCAACAGACACTCCTCCACCACCAACAGCTACCTCGCTGGCCTTTTTTTCTTCAGCTTTTATCATCCAAGAATCATTTCTTTCAAGCTTAGGTTGTTTTGTATACATTAAGAAGGGTGGCACTGAAGGAGCATGCTGAAATGAAGCCAATCGCACTACCTGGAGAAACATTTTGCATATATTTAAATGACGAAATGGATGAATCATCCAAACACGAAAGATAGACAAAACCAGTGATGTGATAAAATTGTTGAAAGGATGATGATAATGAAAATGAAGGCCAAAATAACAAGCATTTTCTCCTATACTGTAAAATAAATGCAGAAGATAAAGAGGATTAAAAAGAGAACAGGAAGGAGGAGGAAGGAGCTGGCACCTGACATAAGACCAACATTAAACCCAATTCAGAAAGCGCACTAGGTTTGACGAGTTGAAGGATATTCGACTATTATACCAGAATGATAAACCTTATAGCTTATCCAAGAAGCAAAACAGACTATAGTTATTCAGAACGATACCCCAAAATACAGTTTCCAAATTCATTCGTTGCAGGAGTGCATGTTTTGCAAAACAATTACAGTTTGAACTAGGCACAAATGTCCACGTTAGTTATTCACCTAAATCAAGTGTATTTCAGGGACAGGCTTAACTTCTCAGATAAAAAAAGCAAGAAGAATAACTTTCAATCAAACTTGAATTGATTTTAGGAAGTCACAGTTAAGCATATCCAGGTAGAAGATATTACTATTGAAAGAAAGACAAAATACACAATGAAGAATTGCAATGAATATCATAACTTAGAAAAGCTGCCAGCCTTTTTTTACCTGTAGCATTGGTGGCCTCAATGATATTCTTTCTTCTTTAGTAGCTTGGAGGCCATCAACAGTAATGAAGGAAAGGAGACGACAATGGAGTAAACTTCTTCCTTAATCATATTCGGTATGTACAGGAGTGATTATATACAGAATGAATACAACAGGCCTATTAAAGAGGGGCCGAGAATCAAGCTACTGTAATCTGGAAACAATTTGAAATTTAAACTCCTATAATAATGGCATATCAAATCTCCTTAATCACCGTGATTTCCTACACTCCCCCTCAAGTTGGATCATAAATGTTAGTCATGTCCAACTTGCCAACAAGGTATTCAAATTTGTCTTTGGCTAACCCCTTTGTGAGTAAATCTGCTGTTTGTTCCCTTGAGGGAATGTATCTCAGATCAATTGTTCCTCCATCAATTTTTTCCCTTATGAAATGTCTATCTATCTCCACATGCTTTGTTCGATCGTGCTGAACTGGGTTGTGTGAGATGTTAATGGCGGCCATGCTATCCGAATAGAGTTTAATGGGTAGGTTAACATTCATCCTTAACTCTTCAAGTACCCGTTTCACCCATATACCTTCACAGATTCCAAGAGCTATGGCTCTGAATTCCGCTTCTGCACTACTTCGAGCGACCACACTCTGTTTTTTACTTCGCCATGTGACAAGATTGCCCCAAACAAAGGTGCAATACCCTGAGGTTGATTTTCGGTCATCCTGGTCACCTGCCCAGTCAGCATCTGTAAACATTTCAACCTTCCTCTTATCAGATTTGCTGAATAATAGTCCTCGCCCTGGAGAGCCTTTCAAGTATCGTAGGATCCTATAAACCTCATTAAGGTGTTTCTGTCTCGGATCATGCGAGTGTTGACTCACCATACTAACTGCAAATGCTATGTCTGGACGCGTGTGGGACAGGTAGATCAACTTCCCCACCATGCGTTGATATCTTCCCACATCTACACTTTTTCCCAAGTCTTCTTCATCACTGATCTTGTCAGCTCTGATGGGAGTGTCACTTGGTCTGCAACTAATCATATTAGTTTCCTTTAGGAGATCCAGGATATATTTTCGTTGTGAAATATAAATCCCCTTTTTTGATCTAGCTACTTCCATTCCAAGAAAGTACTTCATCTCTCCTAGGTCTTTAATTTGGAATTCTTGTGCCAGTGCTCCCTTAATTCTATCAATTTCTGTAAGATCATCCCCTGTAAGTACAATGTCATCCACATACACAGCTAGAACTGTGATTTTTGCATGCTGGTGTTTAAAGAATAGGGTATGATCACTTTGGCCCTGAATGTAACCTTGAGTTCTTAGGACTTGAGTGAAGCGATCAAACCATGCACGAGGGGACTGTTTTAGTCCATACAGCGACTTTCTGAGTTTGCAGACTTGCCTTGATGTCCTTCCGGGAAATCCTGGAGGTAACTTCATGTACACTTCTTCTTTCAACTCTCCATTGAGAAAAGCATTTTTGACGTCTAGTTGGTGCAATGACCAATCTAGATTTGCTGCTAGTGACAAGAGGATTCTGACTGTATTTAACTTCGCTACAGGGGCAAAAGTTTCTGTATAATCCAGCCCATACACTTGAGAGAAGCCTTGTGCAACAAGTCTTGCTTTATACCTGTCAAGGGTACCATCGGCTAGATATTTAGGGGTAAACACCCACTTGCAACCAACTGGTTTCTTGCCTTTTGGTAGATCTACTACCTCCCATGTTCCATTTCTTTTCAAAGCCTCCATTTCCTCTATAACTGCTTGCCTCCATTCAGGAATGGCGAGTGCTTCATCTATGTTATTTGGAACTTTGACACTGTCGAGATGAGAGATAAAGGCATGATACTTCGAGGAAAGTGCTTTATATGAAACAAATCTTTCGATTGGATGCCTTGTTCTAGGCTGTTTCCTCACTGCAATAGGCAAATCAAGATCAACTTTCTCATTACTACTATGTGGCTCCTCATCATTAGCTACCTCTTGCCTTTTTTCCAGGTCTGCCTCCGGTTCTGCTTCTTGGCACATACGGGGTGCCTGAGGGACTTCACTTATCTTGTTTTTCCTTGTATAGAATTTTACAGCTTTGGTAGTGTCTCCCCCTGGATTAGATTTTCCTGTATCACTAGGCACTTCCTCTTTTTCGTGTTCCTCAAGTGTGGGGTTGTCAAGTAAGGTTTCTAAAGGCAATTTGGACATGAGTTGGGGTTCCAGTTCCAGCTGTAGATCAGGTATAATGGGGATACTGGTGGTGTCACTTTTGTCATTCAATTCGCTCCAATTCTCCCCCTGAATTGAATGTTTAGGATAGTAGGGAATGGTTTCATGGAAACTGACATCACAAGTGACAAAGAGGCGTTTTGTTGCTGGATCATAACACTTGTATCCCTTTTGAGAGGCAGAGTAACCGAGAAAGATACAGCGTAGGGCCTTAGGGTCAAGTTTGTTTGAGTGATGAAGGTGAACATAAGTAGTGCAACCAAATACTCTCAAGGGTAAGGTGTTTGCTAGGTATGGAATTTGGTAGTGATCATGTAGGACTTGTAAAGGTGTGCGAAAAGACAGGGGTTTGCTGGGCATTCTATTTATGAGGAATGTGGCTGTGAGAACAGCATCACTCCAGTAGTATTTTGGGACATTAGTACTGAACATAAGTGCCCTAGCAGTTTCAAGAATGTGCCTGTTTTTTCGTTCTGCGATACCGTTCTGTTGAGGACTATAAGGGCAGGAGCTTTTATGGGAAATGCCGTGATCTTTTAGGAAAGTAGTGAGGCTCTTATTGAAGTACTCTGTGCCATTGTCAGTGTGAAGAGTTTTGATGGTGGTTTGAAACTGGGTTTGGATCATATGGTAGAAATCTATGAAAGTTTGATAGACCTCAGTTTTATCTTTAAGTAAGAAAACCCAACTGACCCGTGTGTGATCATCGATAAATGAGACAAACCATTTTGAATGAGTGCGATTGGACACACGTGAGGGACCCCACAAGTCACTATGGATAGTTGCAAAAGGTGTGGAAGCCTGATAAGGAACCCGTTGAAAAGAGGTTCGATGATGTTTGGCCAATTCACAAGAGTCACAACAAAAATTAGTGCAATCTTTATTTGAGCAAATTGAGGGAAACATTTGAGACATGTAATGAATATTTGGATGTCCTAAACGTTTGTGCCATAACTCCAATTCACTAGTCCTAGGGAGAGACACTTTATTACAAAACTTAACATGCTGATCATTACTTTCATCTAAGTAGTAAAGTCCATCAAACACCTTCGCAGTGCCAATCGTCATCCCCGTGAGCAGATCCTGAAATACACAATGAGTAGCAAAGAAATTAGCGTTACACCGTTCATCCCTTGCTAATTGGCTAACAGATATTAAGTTACATTTCAAATTTGGGACATGAAGTACACAGCGAAGCGTTAAAGTGGCAGAAATTTTAACACTTCCAATGCCAACTACTAGAGAATCAGAAGCATCAGCAATCTTAACAGTGAGTCGAGTCTTAGCGGGAGTGTAAGAAGAAAATAACGAAGCATCATCTGTCATATGGTCGGAAGCCCCTGAGTCTATTATCCAGCAATTACCAGTACTCATACCTTTAATGGTTGCCAATGCTTTGAAGAAATTACCTCGTTTGACCACCGTAGCAGTAGGCTGTTTCTGAGATTGTTGATTATTCTGCATAGTGGTAAGCATTTCCAGAATTTTGTTGAGTGGGTCACTGTTTTGGATTGACGAGGAGGTACTTGGTTCATCAGTCCTTGAAGCTTCTGCCACAAAACCACGGCCCCTACCCTTCTTGGGCTTCCAATCAGGTGGCTTCCCATGTAAATCCCAGCAGGTTTCCTTAGTGTGTCCTGTCTTTTTGCAGTGTTCACAAATGGGGCGATTCTTGCCATGTCGTTGTTCAACAAAGCGGGCAGCAAGGGCAGATACCTCGGTGGCACTATTTCTGGGTGCTGGGTCTCCCGTGAGCATGACCTTCCTCCGTGAGTCTTCTCTGCGTAGTATTGCGAATCCTTCACGGACTGATGGCAGTGGTTCTTGGCTTAGAATCCGTCCCCTAATATCATCAAATGCTGAATTTAGTCCAGCGAGTAGTTCAAACAAGCGCTCCTCCTCAACTTTCTTTCTGTGACTAGTGGCATCCTCTGCGCACCGCCACTTTTCTTCACTGATTAAGTCTAATTCCTGCCATAAAGAAACCTTTTCCAGGTAGTATTCATTCAGGCTACGGGAGTCTTGCCTCAACTGCCACAGCTTGGTCTTTATTTCGAATATTTGGGCAGCACTTTGACCGTCCCCGTACGCTTCTCTCGCGGCTTCCCAGATGTCTCGTGCAGTCGGTAAGAACATGAAGCTCTTCTTCACCGTGGGAATCATCGCATTCACCAACCAGGAGGACACTAATGCATTTTCGGATCTCCAGCTCCTCAATGCGTTGACATCAGACGGTGGAGGAGGAGCTGTCTCGCCGGTGACGTGTCCAAGCCTGCCACGACCGTCGAGTGCGAGGCGCATGGATTGAGCCCACTCTCGGTAATTCTCTCCCGAGAGTTTTTCTGGAACAATGAGTACCGCCGAGCCTTCAAACCCAGCAGCGACGAGGCGCGAGGCGCCATTTGCGGAGGAATCACCAGTTGCCTGAGCCGATTTTTTGGGTATCGTCTCTGGCTGCGTGTTCGACTCACTGTTAAGATTGCTGATGCTTCTGATTCTCTAGTAGTTGGCATTGGAAGTGTTAAAATTTCTGCCACTTTAACGCTTCGCTGTGTACTTCATGTCCCAAATTTGAAATGTAACTTAATATCTGTTAGCCAATTAGCAAGGGATGAACGGTGTAACGCTAATTTCTTTGCTACTCATTGTGTATTTCAGGATCTGCTCACGGGGATGACGATTGGCACTGCGAAGGTGTTTGATGGACTTTACTACTTAGATGAAAGTAATGATCAGCATGTTAAGTTTTGTAATAAAGTGTCTCTCCCTAGGACTAGTGAATTGGAGTTATGGCACAAACGTTTAGGACATCCAAATATTCATTACATGTCTCAAATGTTTCCCTCAATTTGCTCAAATAAAGATTGCACTAATTTTTGTTGTGACTCTTGTGAATTGGCCAAACATCATCGAACCTCTTTTCAACGGGTTCCTTATCAGGCTTCCACACCTTTTGCAACTATCCATAGTGACTTGTGGGGTCCCTCACGTGTGTCCAATCGCACTCATTCAAAATGGTTTGTCTCATTTATCGATGATCACACACGGGTCAGTTGGGTTTTCTTACTTAAAGATAAAACTGAGGTCTATCAAACTTTCATAGATTTCTACCATATGATCCAAACCCAGTTTCAAACCACCATCAAAACTCTTCACACTGACAATGGCACAGAGTACTTCAATAAGAGCCTCACTACTTTCCTAAAAGATCACGGCATTTCCCATAAAAGCTCCTGCCCTTATAGTCCTCAACAGAACGGTATCGCAGAACGAAAAAACAGGCACATTCTTGAAACTGCTAGGGCACTTATGTTCAGTACTAATGTCCCAAAATACTACTGGAGTGATGCTGTTCTCACAGCCACATTCCTCATAAATAGAATGCCCAGCAAACCCCTGTCTTTTCGCACACCTTTACAAGTCCTACATGATCACTACCAAATTCCATACCTAGCAAACACCTTACCCTTGAGAGTATTTGGTTGCACTACTTATGTTCACCTTCATCACTCAAACAAACTTGACCCTAAGGCCCTACGCTGTATCTTTCTCGGTTACTCTGCCTCTCAAAAGGGATACAAGTGTTATGATCCAGCAACAAAACGCCTCTTTGTCACTTGTGATGTCAGTTTCCATGAAACCATTCCCTACTATCCTAAACATTCAATTCAGGGGGAGAATTGGAGCGAATTGAATGACAAAAGTGACACCACCAGTATCCCCATTATACCTGATCTACAGCTGGAACTGGAACCCCAACTCATGTCCAAATTGCCTTTAGAAACCTTACTTGACAACCCCACACTGAGGAACACGAAAAAGAGGAAGTGCCTAGTGATACAGGAAAATCTAATCCAGGGGGAGACACTACCAAAGCTGTAAAATTCTATACAAGGAAAAACAAGATAAGTGAAGTCCCTCAGGCACCCCGTATGTGCCAAGAAGCAGAACCGGAGGCAGACCTGGAAAAAAGGCAAGAGGTAGCTAATGATGAGGAGCCACATAGTAGTAATGAGAAAGTTGATCTTGATTTGCCTATTGCAGTGAGGAAACAGCCTAGAACAAGGCATCCAATCGAAAGATTTGTTTCATATAAAGCACTTTCCTCGAAGTATCATGCCTTTATCTCTCATCTCGACAGTGTCAAAGTTCCAAATAACATAGATGAAGCACTCGCCATTCCTGAATGGAGGCAAGCAGTTATAGAGGAAATGGAGGCTTTGAAAAGAAATGGAACATGGGAGGTAGTAGATCTACCAAAAGGCAAGAAACCAGTTGGTTGCAAGTGGGTGTTTACCCCTAAATATCTAGCCGATGGTACCCTTGACAGGTATAAAGCAAGACTTGTTGCACAAGGCTTCTCTCAAGTGTATGGGCTGGATTATACAGAAACTTTTGCCCCTGTAGCGAAGTTAAATACAGTCAGAATCCTCTTGTCACTAGCAGCAAATCTAGATTGGTCATTGCACCAACTAGACGTCAAAAATGCTTTTCTCAATGGAGAGTTGAAAGAAGAAGTGTACATGAAGTTACCTCCAGGATTTCCCGGAAGGACATCAAGGCAAGTCTGCAAACTCAGAAAGTCGCTGTATGGACTAAAACAGTCCCCTCGTGCATGGTTTGATCGCTTCACTCAAGTCCTAAGAACTCAAGGTTACATTCAGGGCCAAAGTGATCATACCCTATTCTTTAAACACCAGCATGCAAAAATCACAGTTCTAGCTGTGTATGTGGATGACATTGTACTTACAGGGGATGATCTTACAGAAATTGATAGAATTAAGGGAGCACTGGCACAAGAATTCCAAATTAAAGACCTAGGAGAGATGAAGTACTTTCTTGGAATGGAAGTAGCTAGATCAAAAAAGGGGATTTATATTTCACAACGAAAATATATCCTGGATCTCCTAAAGGAAACTAATATGATTAGTTGCAGACCAAGTGACACTCCCATCAGAGCTGACAAGATCAGTGATGAAGAAGACTTGGGAAAAAGTGTAGATGTGGGAAGATATCAACGCATGGTGGGGAAGTTGATCTACCTGTCCCACACGCGTCCAGACATAGCATTTGCAGTTAGTATGGTGAGTCAACACTCGCATGATCCGAGACAGAAACACCTTAATGAGGTTTATAGGATCCTACGATACTTGAAAGGCTCTCCAGGGCGAGGACTATTATTCAGCAAATCTGATAAGAGGAAGGTTGAAATGTTTACAGATGCTGACTGGGCAGGTGACCAGGATGACCGAAAATCAACCTCAGGGTATTGCACCTTTGTTTGGGGCAATCTTGTCACATGGCGAAGTAAAAAACAGAGTGTGGTCGCTCGAAGTAGTGCAGAAGCGGAATTCAGAGCCATAGCTCTTGGAATCTGTGAAGGTATATGGGTGAAACGGGTACTTGAAGAGTTAAGGATGAATGTTAACCTACCCATTAAACTCTATTCGGATAGCATGGCCGCCATTAACATCTCACACAACCCAGTTCAGCACGATCGAACAAAGCATGTGGAGATAGATAGACATTTCATAAGGGAAAAAATTGATGGAGGAACAATTGATCTGAGATACATTCCCTCAAGGGAACAAACAGCAGATTTACTCACAAAGGGGTTAGCCAAAGACAAATTTGAATACCTTGTTGGCAAGTTGGACATGACTAACATTTATGATCCAACTTGAGGGGGAGTGTAGGAAATCACGGTGATTAAGGAGATTTGATATGCCATTATTATAGGAGTTTAAATTTCAAATTGTTTCCAGATTACAGTAGCTTGATTCTCGGCCCCTCTTTAATAGGCCTGTTGTATTCATTCTGTATATAATCACTCCTGTACATACCGAATATGATTAAGGAAGAAGTTTACTCCATTGTCGTCTCCTTTCCTTCAATGCGTTGACATCAGACGGTGGAGGAGGAGCTGTCTCGCCGGTGACGTGTCCAAGCCTGCCACGACCGTCGAGTGCGAGGCGCATGGATTGAGCCCACTCTCGGTAATTCTCTCCCGAGAGTTTTTCTGGAACAATGAGTACCGCCGAGCCTTCAAACCCAGCAGCGACGAGGCGCGAGGCGCCATTTGCGGAGGAATCACCAGTTGCCTGAGCCGATTTTTTGGGTATCGTCTCTGGCTGCGTGTTCGACTCCATCTCAGTGTCGGAAGATTCAGATGTCGCCCCCCCTTGCTCTGATACCATGAAGGAAAGGAGACGACAATGGAGTAAACTTCTTCCTTAATCATATTCGGTATGTACAGGAGTGATTATATACAGAATGAATACAACAGGCCTATTAAAGAGGGGCCGAGAATCAAGCTACTGTAATCTGGAAACAATTTGAAATTTAAACTCCTATAATAATGGCATATCAAATCTCCTTAATCACCGTGATTTCCTACAAGTAATCAAGGCTAATTCTCCATGCTCAGCTACTGCTTTGGCTTGTGCCTCTTTTATTTTTTGCTCTTCTTTCATCTTTTTAGTTTCTATGTCAATTTCTACTACCCCAGCATCCACAAAAACAATTCTGAGCACGAAAGGAGTAAAAGTATAATAAATCATAAAAAACCTTCACTTTTGTTCCTCAGGTTGAGGTAGTAAAGAAAGGTGGTTATATTATGCATAATAGTTTATCTTATGACAAAGACTTCAAGTTCTGTTTAATCTACAAGCACCACTCCACAGCATCATATATCTATACATAGACAATATACAGAAAAATAAATGAACTAAGGTTCAATTTTGCCCTGGAAGTTTTATTGTGAGAGCTGTGGGTATGTGAAAGTTTGGATCAATATATCCTGAAGTGCTAAAAAAGTGATCAATGTCACCCCTAGTCATTATATATATTAGCAGTCAATATTCGTTTTTTAACAGTTAACATTAGTATTTTATTGGTTAGGGCGAGTTTACCCACTCTTTTTTAACACTTTCGGGAGATATTGATCTCAAAAACGTTTGTGGATACCTACAACTCCTATGCAAAAAATTTTAGAGCCGAATTGGATCTTAACCTATTTGTTGGCTTTCTAGAAAACAGTCAAGGAATTAACAATGTACGTAGCTGTTCACCATTGCCACTTTCTAACCAACTGATGCAGTCTAACAGAAAATGAAGGCCAATTAAACAATTAAACAAATACTAGGAAGTATAAAATGGATACAAATTAACAATAAATAGTAGAAAGAGGGCATGGCTTACTCTATAGTAGTAGGTGTGGCCACAAACAACTGTCTACGTTGCCAAACAGCACTAGTGGCATATGGAATTGCCACATCTCCCAGATATCTGAATTGAGGGCGCAAACAAGAAATGACTATGTATCGATGGTATGCAAAGGCACACAACTCAACAGTTTGGTCCCACGCCGTCCATTCTGGCTGAGGAAGTAGACCACCAACAGGCTGGAAAGTCTCCCAACTGAATCAGAAACACGATTAAATGTGACATCAAACTAAAATAAAACATGAAATTAATCCTATCAGTAAAACCAACATAGATCACAGCATCTCTAGCATTCAGCTCAATATTAATCTGATTTCCGCAATGAGTTTAAAGACTGAGAAGCAATGTAATTAAAATAATAAAACTCTGAGCTACTTTTAAAACCCATAATTGGCATCCCGTGTCGTAGCCGTCCAGACAAGAACTTATAACGAAAAAACAATCCAAACAAGGGTGAGCAAGAGAAGGCCGGGGACAGGAAGATAAGGTTTTGAGTTCCATGAAGTAAAAATTGATGGAAAAGGCATTCCAGAATTCACACTTCAGGGACTGCCTAGTACTTCACATGATATGGAATTATGTATGAACTACCTTAAATGTTTGCATCTATTCTCAAAATATGTCCAAGAGGACAAGGGGAAGTTTCTCATTGCTTTGAAAGGGCTAAAGGAGAGAGGGTTGAAAAGTTGGAATTACTATGCAGCTAACATTCATTTTCTACTTAGAGAATCCTGTCCATTAAGTTTGGCAATATAACCATGGTTTCAGAAGATTAGTCCACATGTTACTTCGTACCGACATCTGAAACCATGGTTTGGTTTCTATCCACAATTGTATTAGTCTGTATGATCTCACAGCATTCACAACCTGTCAACCATTGCTTCTCCATGACGGGCCAAACAATAGTTATAGCTTTGAAGAAAGGAAGGATAAACCTCAAGGAAGCAATGCTAAGTACGTTAAATAAGAATAATAAGTTTCACCTATACAGTGGAAAGCTGTTTGCCTGTCAACCGCTACTTCCCTCCGTTGGGCAAAAGAATAGTACTTAACTTTGAAGACATGAAGGGTATAAACCTTAAGAAAGCAATGCTAAGAATGTTAAATAAGAATAATTATAAGTTTCACCTGTACAGCTGAAAGTTGTTTTGATATGTGGTCCCAGCTGAAGATCTATGCGAAGAAAATCCGTCATCAACAGTAGCGAAAGAAGAAACACCAATGCCCCCATAACCTGATAAGGGCATTGATTGGGTCGTTGAAATACCGAAAGCAGAAACTGGGCTAACTCTCCTGGATGTTTGGTAAGCAATACCAAGAAGTGTTCCTCCATGCAAACCAATGGCCTGCAACAGATACATGAGAGGAAAATTCGTTAACATGTCAATCGATGCTCCCGTATTCAATGAGTACTTATTTAAGAATAACTTGTTTAGTTGTCTTTGTGTACTAGATATGCTATGGAAACAAAAAAAGGAAAAAAAACAAAAGAAAATTTGTATACAAATTTATGCTACTTCTATATAAAAAAATCGCATCCTCTTCTCATAAAAAGGAGGATATTTTCTTGAAAAAAGCCAGGACCTTAGAATTTTTAGTTCTAGAACACTTCCTACCACTAATTTCATGGACGGGGTCTTCGAAATGGCATCTTGGTTTAGAAAGTAAATACAAGATGCCCCCACTATTCAAACATTTCACAAGTTAGTTTATGTGCTCCAAAAATGCAATTACCTGTACATATCAACAGTTTCCCTCCTATGAATCGGTTCTGGTCATTAATCAGATTCCAGATGTGATATGGTTTCGAATGATGAAGTGCACAATTCCAATAAGATTTCATTCTTGAACAAAAATCAATGTTTTGATTTATTTCATTTATTCCATGACTGGAACATGGGAGATACACATTGCACCATGATTTTGAATCAAAAGAGATATTTCAAGAAATGGCGAAGATAATTTTGATTCCATTAGTAACTAGGATTCGGAATCTCACACATTGATCGATCAAAGAGAGATTCAACAACTAAAAGAAAGATCAAGTCTTTGTTGGGATCCTTCCTTTCTTCAAAGGGAACCAACAGAGATAGAATCAGAGTGATTCCCTAAATACCTTTCTGGATAATACTCAATGTCCCGGCAATTGTGTTTGAAAGTGTCTTAGCACTCATCTTGTTTAATATCTATTACTTCGTCTCTTATTATAAGATCCTTTTAACTAAATTGCGTGGTTTAAGAAAACAATTAAAATTAGTTAAAAGTAATTAATATGTAGCAATACAATTTTTTTCCAAATATGTCTCTGTATATAAATAGGTAGATGTGAAAGAGTAATAGTGAGATAAATAAAGAAAAAAATGTATTAAATGCAGTAAACTAGAAATAAAATAGGTAATAATGTATTAAATGTTTAGACAAACTTAAAAAGGATCTTATAAAAAGGGACAAACTTATTCAAAAAATTAGATATTATAATAAGAGACGGAGGGAGTACTCAATTTCTGACCAAACAATATATAATTGCATTTCCAGTAGCTCTAAGCAAGGACACGTCCAAGTTATAGTCATAATTAACAGTTTTTGCAGATTTTTGTTTTTGGACTTCACAGGTGCCTGAAGTATGTAGCCAGGAACGCAAGAAATCATATAACTTAAAAGAAGGATAACTATTTTTTATATGACAAACGCTACAGAATGAAGAAGATTCTTACTGGTTCACTCCGTGCACCTACAGACCTCATTAATATATTTGAAGTTCCATCATCTAACAAGATACGGACTTGAACAGAACCTGTGGAAGCAGCAGAAGCAGCAGCTGCCGCAGCATGTGCCGCCGCAGCTTCTTTTGCTTTTCTTGATGAACCACCCTTAGGAATTATAGGAATTCTTGGAGGTAACGCAGATTCCAATATAGCAAATCTATCACGACATGTGTCCCAAGCAAGAATCCTTGCAATCCCAGAATCAACAATTGACCAGTCACCAACCTTGTAGATAGAAAAGAATGGAAAATCAGGCCAAGTGATGGCAAGATACCTGCAATTAATTTAACATAATTTATAAGGTTTTTGTTTTTCATATTCACAATCATTACAAAAAATTTTAGATTGGAATAGAAGCAAGTGTTAACTGAAGTCTAAAGCAAAAGGATTACAACATATATACCACAAAAATGATAGAAAATCATACATTATAGACAGTGTGACTATATATATGAAGACGAAAAGTTAGAATTTTATTCCTAAATTTTAGAGTAAAAATAAGAGGGTGCAATTCATTTTGAGTTAGAAAGCAATTTTTTCCCCAAAAAAAGAAGGAAGGAAATAATATTGTGGGAGCTGCAAAATTAGGGGTCACTTACTTTCCAGAGCTACTCACTGAAAGAACTGAATATGAATCATGTGGAATAGGTGTATTAATGTGCTTCCTTCCTTGCTTTATAAGCAAGGGTTCAAAAAATTCTCTCTTAGGGTGTGTTTGGTATGAGGGATTTGGGGGGGAGGGGGGGAAGGGGAGGGGTTTTAATTCATTTCCCTTGTTTGGAAACACACAAATTTTAGAGAGGAGGGAAAAAATTTTAAAATTTCCCCTCCCCTCCCCTCTTCAACTCCCCTCCAAAATTGGGAGGGATTAGAAGGAAAGGGTAATATTTTGTCATATTATGACCATTAACCCATATTTGTCATGTGTGACCATTTATGTCTATATTTTGTCATGTTGTGACCATATGTCTATATTTTGTCATGTGTGACCATATGTCCACACCTTAAATAAAATAAGAGCAAAATTATCCATATTAAAATATTTTTCCCTCCCCTCCCCTCTTTTTTTATAAATCCAACAAGATAATATAAAAATCCTTCCACTCCCTTCCCCTTCCCTTCCCTCCACTAAAATCCCTCCCCTCCCTTCCTCTCATTGAGCCAAACATACCCTTAGACCTCCCTGTTTCTGATAAAGAGCTGCTTTTGCAATAGACGGATTTGCTGAGTTGCTTAGCTGAAAATTTAATAGCTGTAGTTCCCTTCCAACAACATATACAGCAGAATTTTCTCCGCCATCTCTTGGTATTGGCAGGGGAGCCACTGATGGAAGAGATCTAGCATCAAACTCACAGATAATAACACCAATATTGGTTCCCGTGACAACAAGATGTGGCTGCAAAGCATGTGCAACCATACAATACACCTGCAGCGCAAAACAATGGCAAAATTAGAGATGATTACATGTTTGACTAATTTCCTAAAACCAATGTATCATGATAAGTATAGCTATTTACTTGATACACTTAATTACGTTCAAATTTCCATGATTTATCCCCGTAATTCAGTCT